CCTTCAGTGACTTTGAAAAGTTTTTTAAAAATAATTTCTTGCCATAATTGGGTTTTTAACTTAAACCGTATATTGTTTAAACTAGTTAACGTAATGAATAAATTTACTTTCAAATGTTTTTTTGTTTCGTTTTGAGCTTTAGTGTCGGAAATCGTTTTAGGTTTTATGTATTTTTGTTTCATGATAAATGAAGGAAATTTTTTTAATGTAGAATTCAAAATATGTTTAATCCTTTGCAATTTAATCTTAAATTTGCAGTTTGGTATGTTCGAAGCTTGACTAATCAGTTAAGGAATGCATAAAGTTAAGAATTAACCTGTTTAATTGCCATATAAAAAGCTAAAAGAAAATAATTGTTAAAACCTAATTTAAATTTTTAAACTAGTTTCGATATTTTCAGTCTTTGTTTTCTCGATAGTGGTTTGGTAGATTTGAATAATATTTAGATTTTTCTTCACTTAAAAAGAAATTAGCTATTAAAAACGAGATTACTTTGAAATAATTTTAAAACTGGGTTCTAAATCATATACATTCGCTTTGATCTTTACCAAATATTCTCTTTAGTATCAACTGGGGACGGCTAACATTTTTAGGAAGATTGCTATTATCTAAAAAGGAACTATGCATGCTACTTCCAATAAATTAAAAAAATACAAAAAAAGAGGAAAAAAAAACATTATTTATCGCCTCTGATTACGAGATTTTTCTGCAGATAGTTCATTTCTTTTTCAGTTTCGTTTGCGTAGTTGAGATTTTTAAAAAAATAAATAAATAGAACAAAAGTAAAAATTTCGAATTTTAGCCAATTAAATACAATATAATATTAAATTGAAATATTTATTGGTAAATAATTATTAAAAAGTTAGTACTTTATTAGTGTGGCTTTAGAATTCGAAATTTTCTTTACAATAAGATTTAGAGATTTTGACCAAATGTTTCAAGACAATACTATTATTTTTCAATTTTATTTTTGGGTTTGCATAAGGTTTACACGTGCCCCTGCTTACCCTCCGTGCTATACAGAAGCACGCATAATGTATACACGTTTCTGATCTGTAACTTGAATTCTTCATCTACAATCATACTGAAGTATTAATCGAAAAAAGCCTTTTGAAAGAAAATAACTTTTTTAAAAAAAAATAGGTTTAATGATCCCCACAGAAGAAAAAAAAATGAAAAAAGCAAAATCTGAAAGTCTTTATGAGACTTTTCCGCTGAAATAAACATAAGAGCAAAATATTGTCAGTTTTCCAATGTTTTTTTTGTTCTATTGAAAATTTGTGGGTTTTTATTTATTTGTTCATTTTATTCAACGAAAGCTTAAAGATAAATATAAATGTCCATTAAGGGATATATGTATAAATTCCAGGCTATCGTCGCGAAACAAAAATAAACCGAAGAATATATTTCTCCACGAAAGATAAATTTATTATTGTTACATATCTTGACATTTTATTCAATTGGGCGGTTACATTTATCGCATGAAAAATGTGAGTTTTTAAAAGAAATATAATAAATTACATCCGTAAATCATTTGAAGCTGTACACGTAGCCAAAGAAACAAAATGGTTCTTTAAAATTTTGCAGAAAGTTAGAATCTCATTGAATAGGCGGACGTAGGAAATAAACAGATATTTTAATGTAATTTTAAAGCTGCTTTACACATTATAAGCAAGTGTATAAATAAAAAGTATTTACAATTTTAACTTGAAGCAGCGTTGGCTCTGTGAAAAGAGTACTTGCCTTTTAATGAGAAGGCCGGGATTCGAGACCCATTGCTGGCTGGTCAATGTGAATTCTACTCCTAGCTCCCACCAACCACAGTGCTAATGTAAAATTTCCTCTGTAGTAGAATGATTATGGGTTCCAGCGAAATTCCCTTGCTTTTGGGCCAACCATAAGAGATGTTCATAGAATTCATCGGAAATGCAATTTAGTTCCACAAAAAAAGTTCTCGAGGGCTAGTTCCTCCTAGATAGTCAATTTGCTCAATGTTTGAACTAAGAGTGTTCAAAACTGAGAGAGATGGTTAAGTTGAACTAAGAGTATTTGATTCAAAATTACAAGGCCATGGAATTGCACACTGATAGCCGGAAATTCAAAATTCCCTCAGCTGTTATAAATGATAAAAGACTTTTCGGGTATATTGATCTATATGCTCGTAGGTCTGTCAAAGATGTTTCGTTCACGGATTCTCACTGTCGCCAGCGATTAGTCTGGAGTAGAAAGCATACAGAGTGGATATAGTCACAGTGGGGCTTGTGGAATATTTTCCGTCAAGTTCAAGTTCAGTTGGATGCATGACTAATTAGTGTAAGTGACATTTTGAGTTATGAAAGATCTGCTAAGATACCTAAGAGGCTCTTTTTGTGTGGTATTTTTTTATATTTCATAACCGTCATTGAGCTGCCGACCCATTTCTGAGTTTAAGACCACCAATGTTCAACTCCATAACCTTGTTAATTTGACCCCAATCCAGAAGACAAAAGAATTCCTTGATCAAGTATTAGGAGAAATTTGCCATCATGAGGGACTTTTTTATGGAACTAACACGCATTTGCGTTACATGGAGAGAATGACCACGAGAACCTCCCACTGTCAGCTTAACGGCAAGGGGACTTTAACCCACGCTCCGTCTACAACTATATATCGGGATACAAATATATACTACGGATACTTTTCTTCGGCGCTGTGGTCGGTGAGAGCCGGGTGCGGAATTCCTATCTACCAGCCATCACTGGGATCGAAGCCGGGTCATCTTATTGGGAGGCTAGCGCTCTATCCCATGAGCAGTCAGGACTCCCTGTGTGGTATATTGCAAAGACACACAAAACAACAATATTTTACTCACCAATAGTAAGCCAGCGAATTGCAAAGCTGACTGAAAGAAACTTCGAAAGCAGTTTAAGGGTTGGCGAGTTAAAGCGAGCAGAGAAAGATAGCTCCCTAGTATTATTTAAATATTTACTATTACAAAAATTTCAATTAGCATTATAAAAGTATACAGGCGTCAAGTTTCTGACATTTATTAAAGAACTTCATGAATTTATGAGCCTAAAGATAAAGAAAATAAATTTATTTTCGTTAAGAAAGAAATCGTTTCCCTCAAATCAAATCAATTTTATTTATTGAACTTTTTAAAGATTTTACATACATGAATGAAAAAATTGGAATTTTCTTTTTCTTCCTGTTTTATTAGAAAGAAATAAAGCTTCAAATCCTCAGCTTCGAAGCAATAAACGTCGGATTGAATTTTTTTATGAAGCTATTCTTTGTGCCGTAATATAGTGATATGAATTGATTTTATAAACTTTTGTTCTGGATGCGAGAATTTTTTTTTTCGATTTCAAAAAATCTGAAACTCAATTACTTTCTAAAGTGTTTGCTCTAAAAATTGAATTTTATAAGTTTGTATTTCATCTTTGAAACAGAATAATGAAGAATTGTCTTTTCCTGTTCATATCATTCCAGCGAAAAAAAAAAATTTTTTTTTCTCAGATGAACGTAAAAATTTAATTTTTGTAGTGCTACATTTTATATAAAAACGCATCTAGATAAAATAAAATTTTGCAAAATAATTTAGAAAGTTCTATAGATACAAAAAAAACCTATTTGAAAACACCAAATTCAATTTGGTGTCAATTAGATGTTTTTTTTTTCTTTAAATATGAAAAGCAATATATATTTTCTATCGAACATATAATCGTGTGTTGCCTTCAGGCATCTTTATTTTGCTGGGTTGAACTATTAAAAATGTGTTTCGTTTAATCTAATAACTGTAAGATTAATTCCCTTAACCGGTAATGGCAAAAAACAATAATAAATGAAACAAAAAATTTAAGTATTTAACTTTAATTATTGTTTTAGTATGTGTCTCTAAGTTAACAAAGGTGTGTGATTTTGGTATGTGTTTTAAGTTCATTCACGACAAGCATAAGTAACTGAGCTCTCTAATAGTACATAATACATATTACAAATACATACATTTGCATAGTGCTCAGATCTAGTTTAAAACAAACTAAATATCTCCAGTTACATTAAAAATAGTCTGGTGCAGCCATCTAGTGTGTAAAATACGAAATATAAATTTTTGGGCACTAGGGAAGATTTTTTTTAATGGCTGGCACTTGGGGGTTGTCTCATTGGCCACAGAACTACCAGAAATGCTACTCTCTTCTCGTTACCCAGTGGGCACCTGTGGAGAAGCCACGGCGGTGGAGCAGCGTCGCCCACGCCACACAACCACAATCCGTTTATAGGGCGTTGTCACATTCACACAATCACACACAAAGGGGAAAGGACATAAAACACACACAGAGAGAGAAAGAAGCATCCATGCGCTGAGCAGGATTCGAACCCGCGACCAGCGGCTCCGCAGTCAGGCACGCTAACCACTCGGACACCAGGTCGGCCTAGGGATGAATATATTTAAATCGTTTCGGTGCGTTTTCCTTGAACGCTCTAGCTAGCTTCAAATTTTACGCACTCAGTATTTTACATTTTACGAACTTAGTGTTTTATATTTTACGCATTTTATAATACAAAACTTATAATAATACAAAACTTAATACAAAAACTTAAAACGTAACAAAACTTAAAAATAAAGTGAAAACCTTTCTTCATGTTAGTTTTTTACTTGTATTTTTACTAAATGTAATGACTAAGAACTATAGAATTTTGGACGCTTGAACGTACAACAAACTATTGCCATGGCAACGGATAAACATCAAATAAATCATTTGAATACCGTACGTTTTGTTTTCAATTACCAATTATTCTGTTGTTAATAAATTCTCTTTTTCATGAAAAATGTCAATGCAATAATAAATATACAACAATAGTTTCTTTTGTCCAGTTTTGTTTAGTCCTAATTTTGTTTAGAGATTCATCTTATCTTAGACATTGTTTCTTTCTTATAATCTTATACATTGTAATTTTTTATCTTAGACATTTTCCGTACTTTAGCTTATTTTATAATTTTTTTTAAAATTTAATTTCAGGTTTTGATCCTAGAATACCAGGATATCTACGCTATAGCATGATGGTCGATGCCAAAAATGGAATTTATAACTTTCGTATTTCTAATGTTCAGATGGATGATGAAGGAGAATACCAATGCCAAGTAAGATTGTGTTTTCTTAGTTTCAATAAATATTTTTTTTTATTTCCTATGAGCTGCACGATCAGTCTTCCCGTTGAGCAAGTGCGTTCTCCAGAAGTGGTATCCACTCTTTCAGGACCACCACAATGGGTGATATACCGTTGGCCATGGACGTCTAGCTTCTGCCACACTAGATGGCAGCACCGGGACTCTATTTGGATGCTAAAGTGCACTAGGAATTTAATTTTGCCGGAAATGCCAAGAGCCAATAAGACACTTCTGCGAACTTTTACATGCCGCATAATCATACGACATGGACGCTGATGATTTTCTGCATCCCGAAAATCTGGTGTCTGGGCCGGGGATCGAACCCGCAGACTTGGGCTCAGAAGGCCGACGACAAACCAACTGCGCCACCCAGCCAGCGCTTCAATAAATATAATTCTTTTGAAATAATGACAAATCACACATCCAGCTAATTTAATTCCGGACATATTTATTATAGCAAAAAAATTTTGCTTTCAATTCATTTATTACATTTTTTTCACTTCAATTTAATAAAAAAACCAGCAAAAAAATGCCAAAAAGAAACGAATAATGTTTATAGTTTATAGATTTATTCCAACGATTGAAATTCACTCTAGCTTTATGTCTCTTATTTGAAAGGTTCTCAAAATTCATTAATTGCAGCTAAAAATGTTTTACCATTTTTGTACACTTAATTCATGAATGGCAAGCCTTCGTTATTTAGGTGTTTATTCAATCATTTTTGAGTCAAAATGATTATTGTAGTTATCAAAAAAAGTTGCATCAATTAACCATGCAGTAGTCAACTCCATGCCTGCCATATAGTCAAGGGATGCCGCTGCTATAGCAATAAGTGAAAATGAGGAAATCATGCTTGTAAAGTGTTTCTCTAGCCGACTCTAGTAGTTTACCCCAAACCCAACTTGAGAGTGTTTAATCTCGTAAAGAAAGTGCTAACAATGCTCATGAAGCCAGTTCAAGCTAGATAAACAGTAGAATATATTCAATTGCGCAATTATAACCGCATTTCCTGTTAGTCATAACAATGATTATTATGCTTTATTTGTTTATCAGTTCCCATGATGTGATCAAAAAATATGCAGAAGGGAAGAAGACTAACTTCCATAGACTTAATGTTAACCAGTCCTCCAAGGTTTGGTGTGCTCTCTGTGTATAAAGGAAAGAAATCTTAGGGCCTATTCATGTTGGTTACATTTGCTAACACATTTTGGCATAGAAAGAAAGAATAAAACGGCGGAACCTAACCTAATCATACATGTAGAGTTGTCAAGCAACCGGTTCACACGTGATGTACCTTCTGACTGTCACTTTGCGTATTAGTGCATATGAGGCTCTGCTAAATCTGAGTATGTTGCACATCCTCTAACTTATTTTTCTAGTATAGCGCATACCACACCGTACCACAGTGTTAGTTACGTATTCGAAGAGCTGGACTTCTTCTCCTTCTTACATTCGTTGCTGTAGCCCTGCAATTAATGACAGAAACATGGCATAATGACAAGTCCTGCAATTAATGACAGGAACATGGTATAATGACAAGTCCTGCAATTAATGACTAACATGGAACATTCGCTATAACTCTTTATTGTTGCAAATTTTTTGCTTGTATTTTTTGCTTAAAAAATTATTGTTACTCTTAATTGCACTTTCGCCAATTTTTTTAGGATTCAAGGGGGACGAAATTTTTATGAAGAGTGAGATGTTTTTCTCCATAACAAATTCAATAAAATATAATTTTGGAAGTTAATTAAGATTTTCGCATTAAATCAAAGATTTACTCGAGAGTTAAAATTGGGATTATATATATATAATATAATAATGATAATATGATGTTTTTTATTATTATTATTATTATTTTTGTAGGAATAAGGAAACAATGTTTCGTATGTTTTTCGCTTTCCTTTCAGTACTATATATGATCCTGTACAAAGTCCATTAGCTCTGTTCTTGGTCTAGTAAATTCTCACTTTTCCTTATATTCCTGTTAGTTGATTCGAAAAATAAACCTTGTTCTTTTCATCACGGTTTAGTCCACAAAGTAAGCTTAATTAAATGGCATGAACGTGAATCCCCTAACTAAGTTTTATGATAACTTTTCTTTTGTTCTTAACATAGATTGCGATAGAAAATAGTAGTGTGTTTTTATTTCACTACGTTTTTGGTAATTCGCACCAGTTAGCTTCGAATATTTTTTATTAAAAGTAAAGCATCTAAGAATGACAGAAACAATCTAATTTTTAAAGAAATGAATATGTCTGGAATTAAAAGTTATCGTTCTTTTACAAGAAAAATATGTGCTTGGTTTATTTTTTACTTTCGCGTCAGACTGACTTATTTAAAGCTATAGAGATTTTTTGATGCAGAATGACCACTTCTACACAGACAGAAAAAAGCATAATCATAATTCCCTGAATATGGTAAACTTTACCCTGTTTTTGTCTGTGTGGGAACACCAATATCTCGTTAATTTTTACCGAACTTTTTTGGTAATGATTTTGGTAAACTTAACAATAAAACATGGTTTTGTTTACCATATAAATAGTCTTTCTACTATAGGTTTTATAGTAAATAAGATAAAATTTGGTATAATTTGATAATTTTTTCATGGTATCTTGGAGCACGGCATACGAACCATTTATTCATTTTAATTTACTTTTCAGTTTCATAATTGTTTCTAAATGCGTGGAATTCAGCCGGAAGGATAACAAAAGTAACTTAATTGGAATTAATTTGAATCATACTAACTTCTTTTTCTTTTTTCTTCAAAAAATCAAGCTGAAATGCATTTTTGAAAATAAAGAACACAAAGTATGTAAAGTTATTACAATGATAAATTGTTCGCCCTGACAAAAGTTGCATAACTATAATTTTGAAAACTAGAATTTTGGTACACTGTAGCCACATGAATGGAAAAAAATTACCCAATAAATTATATAAATTCCGCATATTTTAGTTTAATTAATCTAAATTGTATTTTTTTGAAACCAGAAATGTCATTAATAACAGTATCGATAATTTTTACCGGTTTTTATTTCTTCGTGTAGTTTTTTCGTGTAGTCGTATCGTACACATGTGTAGTAGTTTATCTCAGAAAGCTCTTTATCCATCCACTCAGTTGTAAAGTCGATGGATTTAGGCTATTTTTATATATATCGTTGTTTCTGACAATACTTGTCCTCTAGGATGTATGAGCCTAAACTAAGATATGTATAAGCTTCCATGATCAATAGGCATAAACTAAAGTGACACTATGAGTATCATAATAAATCTCAGATTTGATGCTCAAAAGGGAAGAAAATATGTGACACCATTATCTACCTTTTTTTTATTGTATATCCACATTTTTATCCTTGTATTATCCTTAACTTAACGGATGTCGTAAGTATTATCCATGGTATCATGATTAATTTGTTTTTAATCATCAATTCAGTAAACTTTATAATTTAGTTTTCAACACAGTCATCAAATTTGGATCTTAAAAATCGTTAATTAAACAACAATCTATTGATTTATAAATCTGCAAACAAGGTTTTGCGGATTTGAGCCAGTTAAAAACTACCCAATATTCGCGTGAATAAAAATACCATTTGTAATAATGAAGTTTTGAAAACTATACTTTTTAAGCAGACCAAAACTGGAAAAAAATTGTTTTTTCAAACCTAAAACAAAACTCGTAGGGCCACTTTCGAAAGATGTGCGAGATATCTTTTGATCGAAGGTTATGTCAGCGTTCGAAACTCATATATTTCACATTCTTTGCTGGATAAAACAAAGATTTTTTTAAGATCAAACGAAGATTTAAAAAAGAAAACAATCTCTCATTTTTTAGTTGACTTGAAAACATAGTTTTAAAAAATAATTATCATTTACTTTAGATTATTTTCCTTGCATATTGGAGATATTAGTTAAAATTTCGATTAGTGATACATTTTTCCTGCAGGATTTCAGAAACAAATTTAGCTTTCACTATCATCAAGCGCAGAGCACCAATTGAAGTTTCGAGCTAACTAGCTAGTCGGAAAGTGGTAAAAAATAAATACTTTTTGGCAAAAAAATTCTGTGTGTAGAGCTCTGGATAAAATTGCATACTTGCAAACTTAGTCATTAGTGGACCGGCCAATCAGATTCGATACATACGCGTGGCGTCAATTGCGGGTATTTTAAAATCTGATTCTAATATTGATTCAGCGTAATACAATCCCAAGTCTTACAGCTGTAACGATAACATGTCATGCACAACCTCGTGAGTAGACACCACCATATGATCAGTTGCAATTAATCACCATAGTGAAATTTGTAATACTAGGAGGCTTCGCCCCCTGCTCGCTGCCTCTCACCAACCCCCGAAACTGCTTTCACAGTTCATTTCAGATTGCTTCGCAATCCAATGCTCGTTCATTGGATACGTTCTTAACGTCTAGTTTTTGTATACTTTTTTGAATACTGAAGTTCCGAAAACTTTTCACTGTAGAAAATTCTAAACCTGTACATTTCAATATTAATTTGAAATTGCAAACAGTTCACATATTTTTCTTAATCACACTATTCTAAATTTCAGTTGTTGTGAAAAGTAACTGTTGTAAGTTTTGTTTTAAAGTCTTTCCCACCAGAGGGCTAAAGCCATGTGTTGTAAAACAATATGAAATAGTAGTCTGCCACTGAACGCCGGATGTAAAGCATCGGCTTTGATGAAGATAATTTTGTATTTTTAATTCTCTGAAGGGCGCCACCTTAATAATATGGAATTTGTAAAATAAATGTATATATTTTTGATTGTTGATGAAGCCCATCATTTTGTGTTTTCATCAGTGTTCAGAAGCAGAACAACTATAAGTTTTTTATTTTATCACAAAAATATAAAATGTATAAAAAACAAAGAAAAGAGTAAGAAAATGAGTATAGTCATAGAAAAAGTTAAAATTATAATATAGTATTTGTCAGTTAAAATAAAACTTTTTGTTTAAGTCATTGCT